TCATATGATTTTTACACTGAAACAAAATAAAACCACCATCACATTGTTAGGGATGGGCATGAAGTGGCACACGAAGCAAAAGTCGTCATGACTAGTGCCACTTCGTGCTTCGTGAACAGCCGCTTTGGGCAATTGCTTTGTTAACAGTCCTCTAGATTGTTTTGTTAACAAAGCAATCCACGACTCGCTATGTTTTGCTCTGGCAATCCGTGGTGCTTCGTGGGTGCTTTGTTGGGCCAGACTGCCTAGTGCTGATTAATCAACTCCCCAGGCAATGGGGAGGAGAGATGAGAGCAGACCTTCTGCAGCACTGGGAACACCGATCCTGGGCTTCCAAAGCTTGCTTGGCAGCTCTGGTGGTCAACTAGAGAGCTCCCATTCTGCTCTATGGGAGCAGGAAGGCAGATATACCTCTTAGCTCAGATGCAGCTGTGTTCAGTTTGCAGCCAGCGACAGGGAGAGAGGGAAGGGAAAGTGAAAACAATTGCTGCTTCAGGGCTTGGAAACACTAGTCCTTCTTTGCCAGAATCAGGCAGAAGGACTCAGCCAGTGGGCTCCTTAGGGGGAGTTCTCCACACCTTTCCCCTACAGTGGGGAGGTGTCTGGTGGGGCCAGGGATCTGACCCACACCTGTCTGTCTGCTAACATCTGGCAAGCAGACCCAGCTACTGGGCTCCTCCTCTGGGTGGGTAGGGAAACCTAACTATATTACAAATCTTAGCATACAGTAATTTTTACGGACATTCCACACCTTTCCCTTGCTGGGGAGTGTCTCAAGTGTGGCTGCCGGGTTCCTCTCCATGGAGGTGTGCTGTGAGTTGGATGCCTCTAGCTTGATCATACTCACACATGGTATTTTTGGCCCATGTGTAACAGAGTGTTGGACTGGAGGGGCCATTGGCCTGATCCAGCATTGGCTTCTCTTATGTTGTTATGTCTGGGGCAAGGGATGCTCTATATTCTTGGTGCTTGGGGGGGGGGACAGTGGGAGGGCTCCTGGTGTTCTGGCCCCACTGCCTGATCTCCTGAGGGCACCTGGTATTTTTGGCTGAGAGTGGGAGGGCTCCTGGAGTTTTGGCCCTGCTGGTGGACCTCCTGAGGGCACCTGGGTTTTGTCCAGTGTTTCCTCTAAGTGCAAGGTAGCTAACAGTTTTTTAGCCTCTTCCGGTGATGTCAGGGGGTGTGGCCTTATGACACACTTCCGGTGATGTCAGGGGGTGTGGCATATGCTAATGAGTTATGCTAATGAGCTCCGGCAGCTCTTTTTCTACAAAAAGACCCCTGCCCACACCTGTCTGTCTGCTAACACCTGGCAAGCAGACCCAGCTACTGGGCTCCTCCTCTGGGTGGGTGGGGAAACCTAACTATATTACAAATCTTAGCATCCAGTAATTTTTACGGACATTCCACACCTTTCCCTTGCTGGGGAGTGTCTCCAGTGTGGCTGCCGGGTTCCTCTCCATGGAGCTGCACCCCCCAAACTGGGATATTTTAGCTGTCCTTTATCCTCCCTGCATCTCTCTGCTACAGCCAGGCAGAGGGACTCAGCTCAGGTGTGGCTGCCGGGTTCCTCCCTGTGGAACTGCACCCCCCCCCACCCTTAGGTATTTTGGCCACCCATGCGCACAATGGAAAGGGTTGGCCCCCCACCTCCAGAATCCATGTCCCCAACAACCAGGTTGGTGGATGAACGGTGCCTCCTTCCAGGGCACGAGAAGGGTTGACCCCCCCCTCGAATCCATGTCCCCAATGGGCAGGCGGGCGACTGGTGCCCCCCATCCCAGGCACGAGGGGAAGGGTCAGCTCACAGCTGTGACTTGCCCACTCCTCAGAGAGCACTTTCCTTGGGGCACCTGCTTTGAGGGTTGCAACTTGGCCCCCCAACAGCCAATCCTCTCCAAAGTTGAAGGGCATCCCAGGGAGGTGTGCTGTGACTTGGATGCCTCTAGCTTGCGGGGGGTCTATTTCCTGAGGGCACCTTCTTTGAGGGGCTGTAACTCAGCCCCATAAATCCAATCCTCACCAAACTTGGAGGGAAGGTAGACAAGAGGCAGCTGCAGAATCACTGTGAGTTTGGCATCTCTAGCCCACAGCGGGGCTGTTCTACTGCATCACACATCCATGAATCATGAACCAGTCCATGAAAAATGAGTTTGTAGTGATTCATGGTTCATGGTGTCCAATGAACACAGGGTCCACCCTCCAAAGCAGACATTTTACTGATCTCTGTTCTTTGGAGATCAGTTGTAACAGTGGGAGATCTCCAGGTGTCACCTGGAGGCTGGCAACCTTATGATAAACCCATCCCTCTTCCACTGGCACAGCCAGACTGGATAATTCAGTGAATGACCAAACCTTTCCTTAGGCTACATCTATTGTAGTCTGCTCTTTGATAGGCTACTTTTAGAAAGCATCCAGAAATGACAACTGTTCCAGTGTGTGGCTCTCTGGCTGTTAGCAGGGCAGGATGTGAGGATAATGTTATGGTTACTCTACAACATCTTCACGGGCCGCTGGCCCTTTTCTGGTCCCAAGCTTTAAAGCACTGGATTTTATCTTTAAAGTCTTAAATGACTGCCCGATTCCCTCTAGAGCCTACCTGCTTATCAATCTATTTAGAAGAGGGCAGAGAGCAATCAAGATGATTAAAGGGAGAAAGGCTGAAGAGTACTGGATATTTCAGTCTAGAAAAAGACAGATAAGGGGGAACATGACAGAGGATTATAAAACGATACATGAGGTGGCGAAAGTGATAGAGAAAATCCCCCTCCCCCCACACAATACTCCAACTCAGGTTCAACTGGTGAAGTTGATAAGCTGTAGATTCAGTGTGGACAAAAGAAAGTATTTCTTTATTCACTGAGTAACCTGTGGAATTCACTGCCTGAGGATGTAGTAATGGCTACAGGCATAGAAGGCTGTGACATCTGTCATCCTGTTGATCACCAGGGCAGATTTGGCCAATCCAGCTAGCCATGCCCTTGTCCTTTTTCTTCCTCACTGTGCACCCATCCCTAAGCTGCAAACATCATGGAATATAGAACAACCATCCCAGACAGAAAGGGTATACTCTCTTCGGCACTTTTCCCAGCTTTGCCGTAGCGTATAGTGGTGTAGTGGTTAAGTGTGCGGACTCTAATCTGGGAGAACGTGGTTTGATTCCCCACTCCTCCACTTGCAGCTGCTGGATGCCCTTGGGCAAGCCATAGTTCTGTCAGAGCTGTCCTTGAAAGAGCAGTTCTCTTAAAGCTCTCTCAGCCCCACCTACCGCACAGAATGTCTGTTGTAGGGAGGGGAAGGGAAAGGAGTTTGTAAGCCACTCTGAGACTCCGAGTGAAGGGCTGGGTATAAATCCAATCACCTCCCCCTCCTTCTTCAGATATGGCACCCAAAAGTGTACACAGTATTCCAAAAAGGACCACGCAACAGAACTACACAGGGGCTTCACAATACTGACCATTTTATTTTCAATTTCTTTCCTAACTATCCCCAACCTAGAGTTTGCTTTGTTCACTGCTGCTGTACACTGAGTCATCATTTTTATCAAGCTATCCAATATACCGCTGCAGCAAAATATTAATTTTAAAAAGCTTAAATGGGGAAGCCATGGATTTTAGTGGCCATGGATGTGTTAAGTGATTGGATGGTGAGTTTTGTTTGATCTCAAGGAAAGTGATGAACATGCCTGAGGATCTGTGTCTTGCATTCATGTTTTATACTGTGGCACAGTAACACAAAGCAGTAGTTCTGTAATTTCTGTCGTGCAATCTGTGGCCACAGATGTGATGAGTGACTTGATGATGACTTGGTGACTGAATGTAAAAATCTTGAGGATACGTGAGAATCTGTACTTTGGAATGTTTTTGCACCATAGCATAACCACAAACAGTAGATCGTGATTTTGCAGTGCAATCTGTGGCTATGGACATTATAGTGATTTGATAGTGAGTTTGGGGTCACTGAATATAAAAATCCTGAGTATCCATGAGTATCCGTGCTTTGGAATCACATTTTTGTGCTGTGGCGGCACCACTAAGCAATGAATCTGTGATTTTTGCAGTATAATCTGTGGCCAATGACATGATATGTAACTGGACAGTGGATCTGGGGTGACAAAATATATAAATCTTGAGAATCCATGATCCATGCTTTAGAACTATGTTTTTGCACCTTGGCAACAACACAGAGCAGTGGATTCATAATTTTTTCTGATGTAAGCTGCAACTGTGGACATGATCAAGATTGGATGGTGAGTTTGGGGTGGTCCAGTACAAAAATCAGGAGGAAGCATGCTTCAGAACTACATTTTAGCACCACCAACTCCATGAATCGGTGGATGTGTGATCTTGGTGGTGCTGCCTATTAACTAAGACATGGTCAATAGTATTTTGCTTCACCGTAAGAATCACACGAATCCACGAGGATCCATTTAAAATTGTCTACATCCGACTTTTACCCAGTCCCTGTCTTCCAGCTGGCAAGGGTGAGGGATGGGCATGGAGGGCTGGTATAAGGTACCCCCCCCATCAGTATCCCGTGAGGCAGAGGGCAAGAATAATCTTGGACCCAAGCAGAAGGGCGTGGGAAGGATATACTATTGACTCGGAAGAAAGAAAGAAAGAAACTCTCTGGCGCCTACTTGCCGTCCCAGGACACAGACAGCACGGGCCCAGTTTTGGGAGGCGCAGGCCTTCCTTGGCGGCTCGTACCTCCGCCCTGGCCTGGGTCCCAGCGTCACTGTGCGAATCTGAGAAGCGTGCGCGCCTCTCCCCAGCCCGTCGCGCCTGCTCCCTCTCCGGGCTTGGGCGGCAGAAGCGCGGGC